GTGTGTGTGTGTGTGTGTGTGTGTGTGTGTGTACGCTTATGTATGTGCACCTATATATGTGCGCTTATAACGATATGTATTTAGTTCCCTTGGTATGTGTGACTGTGTGTAGTTAATTTCCTACTTAACCTACCTTTTCATCCCCGCTAACTGCCTCTGCTGAGTGTGCTTGTTGTGATGTTTGCTCAAAAATATTAAATTTACGACACGTCTGCTTTTATACCTTACCCTGAAGTAACAGAAATCAGGAATGGAAATGTCATGTTCTTTTATATGTAGACTTCTTAGACTGTCACAAATTCTCTGATTTTGATGTTATTAATGCTTTTTTCTGTTATGCTCACTCCACCATTGTGAAATTTAAAAAGCAAAAGTTCGTTGAAATATCATTCTCTCTGCGAAAATACTCACAAAGTAAAATTTGGCCATGACTCATGAACAAGCAATGTTTATGTAACATATAAATGCTTTTTCCACGAAAGACCATAATTATTTCATGTGATGGCAGATTAGGACCATGTTATACGCACTAGAATTTATGTTTAATCACTTAGATGTTTTGACTTTTACTTTGAAGATATCCATAGTCACCGTTTGATAATCTTTGGTGTTTTCTTCAAAAATCACATTAGGTGACATAATATGTTTTAAAAAATAACTTCAATTACTCGATTTATTTTATGTTAATTTGATTTAATGTGTATGTTGTTTTCTTAGCGAGTCTGTACTTTTATTATAATATGAATTTTAGTACACGAGTTGTTTCTCGTTGTCAGCTGTTTCTACGATACGGTAAAACTTCGATTTCCTCACAACTATGCGTTTGTGTTTCCCAAACTTCAAGTGACCATGACTTGGAAACCAAAACTGGTACACTTCTAGATTTGTTTTTACCAACTTCTAGACATTGAGAAGATCTTTACTTTGCCACCAATAGTGTAATGTGATTTTTAAAATCTTTTATATGACTTATTTCATCATAAGGTGAGATATAATAAGGTATATCTTTATTGTCCAGATCCTGGCATTTATATACATACATTATATATATATTATTATATATTATATAATTAATATATCATGTTGCTACACATAATATGTATGATAATATATTGCATCATTGTATTTCTTTCCATCCCTTGTTGCCTCCCTCCACCATTCATTGACCCACCATTCATTGACCTACTGGACTGTCTTGTGACGTCACAGACTCTGTATCCCGGAAGTCAAGTGTCACCGAGAAGGACATCATGGATACGCTGACTGAGCATGCGCAGAGAATTGCCGAAAGTGTCCTTAGCCAACCAGCTTCTGGCCAGAATTTGGAGAAAGATGTTCAGGTATTGAGACGTCCCTGTGTTTCTAGGTTTTTTTCTCCCTCTTGTGTGTTTTATCCCCCACTCCCGGCTGCTTTTGGGCTCTGCAGAAAGTGGGACAGGAGGTAGGGTGGGGGGGGGGGGTAAGATGGTAAACTGTCATGGGGAAAGAAAGGGGGTTGATGACTTTAACAGTGTTGCGTGTGTTAGCCTGTGTGCTTTCTAACTGTTCTTCAGTTAATATTTTTTCTCCTGTTATGTTATGTTGCGTATTTACTTTGACATCTTTTTCCTTGCAGAGTTCATGAATACCTGATTTACGTATTTTGATTTCCAAAATTGGAAAACATTCTTTGTTTACCGCGTGAAAAGGTGTGAAATAATACGTGGTAGGCCTACATAATATTATCAATTGTGTTAGCTTTACTTTTCATGCGGTGCGACTCAGAATGTTGCGTAAAATGTTATGTACTTTGTGAATGTCCTAAAACTGTTCAACTAAATTGGGCACATTTAATAGCCCTTTGTTGATAAAAAAACCCACTTAATTTGATCTTCCTTTTCCAGTAACCTTTCTTTCCTCAGTTGGAGCCATATTGCTTTTCTCTTTTTAGATTACCACACAAAAACTTTCCACTTATCTCCCCATTGTTCATTGTGTTGAAGAGAAAAATATATACGACCCCGTGGTGTGAACCACAAGATTGGCAAATCTCCAAGTGCTTATTATGTGAAGAAACATATGTGATATGTACACATATATACACATACACACACACACTCACACACATACACACACACACACTCACACACACACTCACACACACACAGACAGAGAGAGAGAGATGGAGAGAGATATGGAAAGAGAGAGTGGTGTGAGAGAGAGTATGTGTTTGTGTTTGTTTGCTTGTGAGTGTATGTGTGTATGTGTGTGTGTGTGTGTGTGTGTGTGTATGAGAGAGAGAGAAAGAAAGAGAGAGAGAGAGAGAGATACAATTTACCGAGAGACACTCAGAGAGACAAAGAGAGAGACAGAGATAGTGAGACAGAGAGACTGAGAGAGAGACCGAGAGAGACGAGAGAGATTGAGAAAGAAAAGAGGGAGACAGAGAGAGAGGCAGAGACACAACGACAGAGAGACAGGGAAATAGAGAGAGAGAGAGAGAGAGAGAGAGAGAGAGAGAGAGAGAGAGAGAGAAACAGACAGAGAAAGAGACAGAAAGAGAGAGACAGAGAGGTGTGAGAGATAGAGAGACAGAGAGAGAGAGACAAAGAGAGGTGAGAGAGACAAAGAGAGGCGAGAGAGACAGAAAGAGAAAAAGATAGGGAGACAGAGAGAGACAGAGACACACACAGACACAGACGGAAAGTAATAATAGAAATAATATTCATAAACATCATGTCCATAATACAACGCGTCTGGCCCTGCTAGCACTAACACCGTGTTCTTCATCCATCTTGTGCTCCCCTCTGCCAGCAAGCGGCGGACCTCTGGGCGGAGACCCATCCTCCCCGCCCCCTCTCCCGCGCTCACTCCGTGCGCGAGTTCCGAGCTGTAAGCCCTCACCACCGAGCACCTCACGCCACGCACGGCATTGCTCGCACAATCTTTGGCTTTTATATTTACATAACACCTCGCCCTTTTTTTTTAAATTGAAAAAAAAGTATTTATTAGTTTTTTCCCCTTTTTTATTTTCCTTTTTAAAATTATCAGAATGCTTACATTGTTAAATGAACAATAATTATATAACAAACTGCATGCGTAGTTTTACTTGATAAACAACAAAGTGCATCCGTAATATAAAATGTATAGTACCGTATATCTATCTACTTTGTAGTGCATGATGATGAGCCAGTAAAACTGTTGTAAGAGCTTCGGCCCTCGTCTTGTTTTTTCCTTTATTTATTTCATCTTCTACAATCTGACCTCTCTCCCCTTTCCATGGAGATATATTACAAGTTAAAAAAAAATACTTTTTCAAACTTCAACTTCGTTTCCAAAAGCAAAACAACAACAAACAGACGCAAACTCTGAGACGATTTGCGTGTGGGTAAATCTCCTGTCTATGTTTATTGTATTGAATAGAAATTTGAGTGGAAAAAAGCACCAAAATAGTAGTTCCCTCCCCGCCCGTCCCCCCCCCCCCCCCACCCCAAACCTGCGCCCGCTGATATTTCGCTGGTAGGTCTCCAAGTCTCCTACTTTAACCACGCCACCCCCTCCGAGAAAAAACCCACAGACAAAAAACAGTACAAAACCCCCCGCAGAAGAACCCACATCTCCCCACTGATGTTTTCTTTATAGGTCTCCCACATCAACTACCCCCCCCCCCCTTTCCTCCCGCCATCCTTCTTCCTGTAACAGATGTCCTTCGTCCACTACTGCCCCCGCACCCCCACCCTCTCCCCAACCACCCTCCCACCCCACCTTTTCGCCCTTTTTGCATGGACTAAAATTCCGTTATGGAATCAGTTTTACCATTTTCCCTCTTATTTTTTTTCTTTTTTGCTTCAGTTTGTTCAATTTTTTTTCCAGCTTTTTAACCCGAGCATGCTTTATTGAATTTTGTTGTCTTGATTCTCCACTGTTGTTGCGCTTACTCAAACCACGATCTTATATTGAATGCTTTTGTCTCTGGTGACCATTGCCCGACATCTCTGGCGCTTGGCCGCGCTCTCGCAATAATAATGCTCGCATGACATGTTCTCTGTGTGCCCTTTTCCGGTGTCTGTGCGCACATGAAACATAATATCAACTGCACAGTGAAAGACTCCTTCAAACGTCACTTATTTTCAAATTGGTGCATGGTGAAGTCTTTTAGTTTTAGTTTTAGTTTTAGTAGATATTTTACGGCGCTCGCTACTGCATAAGGTCATATGAGCGCCAGAAGATTACTAGAGGGAAACAAACTTTAAAAAGAAGAAGGGGAGATAAGGACGATAGATGTTTGATAGGAAAGAAGAAGTCTGCCATATAGCAGTCGATACGAACTTGTTGACTTTGAGGTTACGTCGATTTTAAACAAAGAAAATCTTCTTTACGAAAACGGAAACACGATAGAATATAAGCAGAAATCTTAAAATTACAAAGTTCTATCTGACAATTTTGTCCATTGTGAGTTACTAAGACCATGAGGCAGGAGACCAATTGTTCAATCTGCTCTATCAAAATCATAAGATTGTTCGGAGTCTTTATCAAGATATTCAAAGAATTGCATTTGAAAAACTTGGCAAGTTGTGAAACTCAAAGTTTTTGACGTTACATTATTCAAAACTAGGTACTGAGCAGAAAGAACTGGGTAACAATTCTTGGGTAGCGAATTACATAATATGTTATTTGTTGTAGTGTCTGTTGTCATTGAAGTAAGCGACGCGCGAACAGGACATGTCATACACTGACTGTTTCAGCTCTCTGACAGATGATTCGCTGAGCGTGATCTGTCACTCTTTCTCCGAATTATCACGGACTGCACTTAATGGCGCTCGTGTATCAAACATTTGGATAAGAAACAAACAGTCATCCATATTATTCTGCTTTTGCAAAACATGTCCAAGAGGGCACAGTTTAATTTGACATTTTTGTTCGTCTCCCCCTCTCCTCCCCTCCCCGAGTCCTATTTTCAGGTTTACTTAAGCATCTTGTGCCATGTAATGTACATGATCTTTTTAGGCCACTCAGTTATGATAGTGTCATCCTTGTTGAAATGCTCTGTTATACTCTATGTTTTTCATAGTTTTCATAAATCATAATATATGTAAAATATTTGTTTCAAAATGCAAATGGTACCGTTATTATATGCATATGAAAAATACGTATCTCTGTTGATACTTAAGAAACGCTCTGTTATCACTCTCGGAATATGAACCTACATCAAAAGCTCAAACTGCAGCGAAGATACGGAAAATCTACTACAAATACATGAACTTTGAGAACAACAGCTCTCACAGCTCGACATAACCAGAATGGGAAACTATGAACAAAGACGCAATGGCAGTTACCCACAGCCTTGCCCTTGATTTTGATCCGTGTCTCCAGGTTCCTTTGGTCTGACACGTTAAACCATTCACTTTATAGAGTCGTTGGTCCTTCTTATTACTCTGCCTGACACGCCACCGTTGCTTTTAGTTGTTGTTTTTTCTTTTAATTTTGGTATTAGTTTTACGGCACTTCCGAAATAATTAGGTCATTTAAGTGCCGAAGATTAGAGGTGTTACAAGAGAGTAACGTACAAAGAAAAGGAGGAGAGATAAAGACGTTATAATAATATATTTGATAGAAAAGAAGGAGCCAACCGCACCAAAGCATCTCCCTACCACCCGCATACTTGTTTTGGAATGTGTAAATTAGAAAACATCCTAAAAAAAACAACCAGCGTTTCTGTCTGTTACGGTCTTGTCCTTTTCCGTGAATTGTAAATGTTGATCGATGTTATTCCATTTCCTTTTGACTCACTGCTCACGAACAGGAAGCCATCCGCATTATGCAGGTATCTTGTACATAGTAGTTAGTGATGTCATATCACCATCTAATATTAGACCCTCGATGTAGTAGCATCCTTGCATACCGTGAAGACTTTACTTCTGATATTAATGTTTCGAAATTACACTTTTGGGGACCTATTATTTCTGTGTCATCGTCATTGACATCGTTTTAGATTTTAACTGTATTCCTAGACTTCGATAAATACAGTATCTATACAAGCCTATACCTAACACGGTATTTCCCCTGCAAGTGTGTTGAGGTAGATACAAGGGGAAATTTTTACCAACTGGCAGTCGAAGATATCAGTGTTCCATTTTAGTTAAAAGAACAACCTTCCCGCCCCTACCCCTGGAAGAAGCAAGTGTGCAGAAAGTGCGACGTTGTGCTTATCTAAAAAATTGCCGAGGCTAAACCAATGACAGATTGTTAGTGCTATTATGTGAATTCTTTTTGTCACGCCGCTTGTGCTGACAGGTGAACTGACGATGTGGTGGGGGTGACCGGAAGTTGTGTTGTGTTGGGGAATACACATGCAAAATATTTCAGCATGGGATGGGATGGAGGGCTATAAGTGAATACTTTGTTTCTCTATTCCTTGTTTTGTTATCATACGATTAATCCCAACCTCAGCCAGGTTGTGTTAGCGTTCCCTTTTCTTGCCAGTGCGCATGAATTCATATGTAAAAAGTCACCCAAATAAGTTAAGGAAACGGAGAACACGCACAAACGTTCTATAGAAGCAAATGAGAAAATTAGAACTCTTTTTCCTTTGGCTGTCTTCCTGATCATTGGGTTTCTAGCTATATAATTTAGGATTTACGCTATTTGTGAATCATGTATCTTTTATGTCGTCTCAGTCCTCTTTGCGTTCTTGTGGTGTTGGTTTATTTTCAGTCCTGTCTGTGACTCTCGTACCCATATACTCTATACAGTTCCGTAGAGTAGATGGATATTGTTCTCCATGCGTTGTTTTGTGCTAGAAGTTGTCGAGAAGTTCCAGATTTGTATCATGCTTGTCCAGTTCACAAATATTTAGTATTCCTTGACCACATAGGAGAAAAATTCATTCCTAAATACCGACATGACGCTGCTGAGAAACATGTGAAGTATTCATTAATTCTATCGGTTTGTGTTTCTCAAAGCTGAAATGCTGAAACTTTATTAGGTACTGTTTTGTGATATTATGCTCAGCAATTGCCACAGCATCAAAGGAATATAATATTAATATCAAGAGATAACAGTGGTAGCTCTTTGACATATGCGAGCTGAAACCTAGAAGACACCATGGGAAAGAGACGTGAGGCGGTATATCAAGAAATGTGAAAAATAGGTGTGGTCGAGAGTGTCATTTTCTACTCGTTCTTGATATTCATACTTGCATAATTCAGCACATGGGGTTGACCAAGAAAGGTGTAAGTTTACAGTGACGTAGACAACAGCAGATCCGAAATTAACGTGCCGTTAACGTTGGGACTTTCTCCCGTGACTTAGTGAAGGAAGTTGTAAGTACTTTGTACATCAAAGGTGGATTGGTACAGCTCTGGAGAGATCAGGTGGAATTCAAGGAAAAGGAGAACGTAAAGTTTTTGTCAAGTGTATTAGCTAATGAATTTTTTTAATGCCCCATACAGTTTGTCCTGCCTGTTTGGGAAACATTTTTAAAAGCACAAATGTTAACGACCCCATGATTGAGTAATTTCAAGTTCCCTCTTCACTAAAGAGTTCTAAGGATTGCAAATTGCATTCCACCTCATGTTGAGATCCAGCTTCGTCCTTATTGCGTAGCCTCCAGTCAAGCCTTACTTTACGTAATGTTACTTTCGTACCACATCCAACGGTATTGGAAAGAAACCTCGAGAAGCGACCCTCTAAAAATGTATGAAACCTCATACTTTTTTCTCCCGAAAGTAGTGAATGGGTTTTCATGATTCTATAAGATTCACCCTTTGATTTTTACTTCTGGTTGTGGTCTCGGACTTTCCGAAATTTATGGGGTAAACTGTTTGTAGTGAAATCGAAAGATAAGATAATTATGTATCACGGACATTTTCAATTCTACATTTTTTCATCAGGCTTTAGTGTAAGTAGATACGTCTGTCTAGCTATAGGTATGTGTACATTTTTTAAGTGATCATCACGAATTGTTTCACAAACTTTGAAGCATGTTCACGCATCGAATTCTTGCTTTGTGCCATGACTCACCTTAAGATCCTATGCTATAGGATGTCTGTCGCCCCCTGGTTGAGTTATTCATTGCCCAGTGGTCAGTGTACGTTTGTGAAAAGAAATAAAAGAGAAAGTTATTTTTATGATCAGGATGTCGGCATGTCTACTCCACTTAAACGTACCCCGATTTTAACTGTCTGAAATGGGTAAGAGGGGTTTCCATTGAACTTTTCGTTAAATTTTGCTTTTAAAAAAGCTGTAGGTAGTTGTGGCTTGTACTGTTTGACCAAATGTCCTGAAGTTTGACTGTCTACAGAGAAATTTCCTATATAAGAAGTCCCGTGTATTATCTGGGTTTGGTGCCTGGGTGCTATAAAACTTGAAAATGTTATTGTTAGTTGGAAACTGCATGGAGACCGTTAAGTTCAAGTTAACTTTACCTCAAAGCAGTATATAGGGATCCAGCGACTTTGCCGTACATGGAGTTTTCGATAACACATTACATGTACATATTCTAGCTATTTGAATTATTCTTGATGAATCCTGTATTGTGTAGCATGTACATTTAAACATGATGAAATTGTCTTTAGCGCTCTACAGATGTGTGTTTGTCGTGGTATGAGACTGGGCATTGGTTGGAATCAGTATGTAGCTGTAGCAATGCTCTTTAGAAAGTGTTGATATTTTCAAAGCACGCGTTGCTTTTTTCCCGAATCACTGTGTGTGGCAGAGGTTTACTGTACGTTCAAAGATGTTTGCAGATCAAGTTACTAATTTGGACACCTGATTTCTGACTACTCACCCAAAAAAAAGGGGACCCTACAGTGCGTTGATCTAGGCCAAGCCAACTACGCAAACGATATTTCCAGTTTCAATATTAAATTATGCATTGTTTGTGTGGTTCACGAACTTTCTGTACCAGATCGATGCATGACGCTGCTACCTCCATCTTTATTATTGTGCAATTTCTCTCACCTTCTGTAATCTCAAAGCATGAACATAAATTTGTAAGCGCCATTTTGCACATAAATATATTCCCTTTTTTTCTCGCAATAAACTTGAGCAGACACTGTGTTATCATGTGAGCGATAAGTGTTTACATGGAATTCCCTCCTTGCATTGAATCAATACTTTTCATGCTACCTTTGAAAAGATTAACGTATGGATTAGTATTAGTGCAACGTTGACACCTATACATTTAATGTGTCTTTTTATTTACTAATTTGAAATACTGTTTATTTTAAAACTCGGAACAACTATGAAGAATCTAATTTTTCTAATGAAATAAAATGAGTTCTTTTTATAAGCTTTCAATACCATCACAGTAATGTTAAGATTATTCACCACAAATGGATTTTAGTTCCTTTAACGCCAGGTTAACAATATTGATGCGTTTTGATTATGGTTCATAAACGTATGTTGTAACGATTGCATTATGTATTCAGAGGCATACATTTTGACTTAAATGTAAAGGTAAAAATTAAAGGAATTATATCGAGGCCTCGCCGACAACAATACGTTCATAAAATAATAAAGTATTTGTACCTGTAAGTATTAAATTACTGATATAATTTTCATTTGACATATTTTTCATTTACTGTCGAAAGCAAACTAATTATCTTGACCACTTGGTATAAATGTTGTTAATATGCAATGTATGCTTCAAATTATCAGTTCAAACTTTTTAAAAAAGTTATTCTTTCGGCTTAGTGGCAAGGTGGTGCACTTCTCACTCTAAAACACTTGATTAACAAAATATATAAGGTTCCTTTTTGCTATTGTCAATATATACGTGATCTGATGGTCTCCGTTGTTGGCCCATCCAGGATGCTATAGCCGAGATCATGCGAAACCGGCGGGCTAGTAGTGCTGCTCCATCCGCTGCTGAGTACAGGGACCTCATCAAGAAGTCGCTGGCAACTGCTGGTAAGTTCTCCTCCTCCTCTTTGTCTTCCTTATTGTCCTCTTCCCCGTCATCGTCCTCTTCCTATTCCTCCCCCTTATCCTCTTCTCCATCTTCCTCCTCCTCTTCCTTTTCCTTGTCCTCTTCCACTTCCTCCTCTTCCTCCTCTTCCTCCTCTTCCTCCTCCTTGTCTTTCTCCTTGTCCTCTTCATCCTCCTTGTCCTCTTCCTCATCATCTTCCTCCTCACTCCTCCTTGTCTTCCTTCTTGTCCTCTTCCTCTTCCTCGTCCTCTTCCTCCTCCTCCTCCTTGTCCTCTTCCTCGTCGTAGTCCTCGCCTTCATCCTCCTCTTCCTCCACCTTGTCCTCTTCCTCGTTCTCCCCCTTCCGTGTCCTCTTCCTCGCCATCGTCCTCCTCTTCCTTCTCTTTCTGTCCCTTTTCCTCTTCCTTTTCCTCTTCCTTTACCTCCTCCTCGTCCTCCCCCTCGTCCTCCTCCTTGTCTTCCTCCTCCTCCTCCTCTTCCTCCTCTACTTCCTCCTTGTCTTCCTCCTTGTCTTCCTCCTTGTCCTCTTCCTCTTCCTTTTCCTCCTCCTCGTCCTCCTCTTCCTCCTCCTTGTCCTCTTCCTCTTCCTCTCCCTCGTCCTCCTCCTTGTTCTTGTCCTCTTCATTCACTTCCCCTCGTCCCCCCTCCTCCCCTGCTGTGCTGTTGGTTCACAGTAATATGTTTACTACTATTTGTCTCATAATGCATTACTGGCTTTTCTTTTTTTTGGAGTAGACCTCTTTGTTGATATCTCTGTTTTTTTATCCTCTCTTTATGTGTCTCCGTCCCCATGTGTTTAAATGCGTATAGATGGGTCTGTCACTGTGTGTGCATTTCTCCCAGTTTGTCTGTCTTCTGTTTCTGTCTCTATCTCCTTGTCTGTCTGTCTGTCTGTCTGTCTGTCTATGTGTCTGTCTGCCTGTCGGTCTGTCTGTCTGTTTGTCTGTGAATGTTTTCCCCTGGCTGTCGGTCCCTCTTGTATTGATATCAATATTACATAATATGGTTCATTCAAACAATTGTAATTAAACATAATTTAAAGTGGCCTGTTTATTCCCATTCCTCATGACTTTAACTCTTGGTTGCAAAATGATGATTAAATTTTAATATCAGATCGACTCCTGTCTCTATGTATGCCAGTAAATAGGGCTGGGCAATGAGTCACTTTAGCAAAATCCGGATAATATGTAAGTGCACCTCTTCGGCTAATATTATGACATGAACCGCTTCGGCAAATGGGTTTGAACAACTTCGACAAACAGGTTTAGCACTACTTCAACATTAAATGGGTGCACCCACTTTGGCAAACGAGTCAGGAAAGAGAGTTAAGAGTCTGAATTCGGACAATGTTTCATTGAGAATTATTCGGTTATCCTTATAGATTATCCGGATTTTGCCCTCCTCTACCAGTAACCATTCTTGTTGTCCTCCTCAGCTGCCAAGGCGGCAGGAATCGACCCCGAAACTTTGCCGGATGAAGCTGAGATAAGTGAAGAGTTGCTGGAGGCTTTGGCAAATCACAAGTTGAGCCCAGATCAGATCGAGGTTGTCAGTGACTCGGAAGGCCGCACGCGCATCCAGTCCCGGGTGGACCTCACAGAGGCACTGGGTGGGGTAGAGGAAGGACATATATTTATAGCTCCGGGGTCGAGTAAGTCTGCTGTGGTTTTTGCTCTTCATGAGTGTTTTTGTTTTTTCAATTTGTAAATATCTTTTAAAATCTTTTTTGCTTTTGCTTTGTCTTGTTCATATTCTGTTTTTTTGGTTAAAAAAAATAAATTTCTATTTTCTTGTTCCTCTTCCTTTTATTTTATTTCTTTTTCTTCTTCCACTCCTTCTTATGTTTCCTCCTCCTCATCCTCCCACTTTTCTTCCTCCTCCTTTTTTATCCCCCTTCTCCTCTTCCTTCTCTTGGTCCTCCCTCTCTTCCTGGTCCTCCTCATTCTCTGTCCCCCCCTCCTCACCCCTCCTCCCCTCTGGTGCTGATCATTCACAAACAGTTAATAACCACTGTTTGTTTTATGGCCAGCTTCTGTGATTAGGCTAATGACTTTTCACACAAAAGGCATGCTCAGTTTGGCTCCAGCGAGGGCGAGTTTGTTTCATGGAGTAATTTTTTTCTCTTCATCCTTCTGTTTGAATGCATTGTACTCGGTCTAGACTGGCGGGGTTTGTCAAAGCAACTTTCCTGCTAAATAATCTAAATTGTATGGGTGGGGTGGAAGGATGTTTGCAATCATTTACAGTCATTCCATCTTTAGTTCAGGAAAAGTTTTGCTCCAGCTGTCATTTCGTGTTGATTGCTGGATGTGATCTTGCCCCTCCACCCAACTCCCCTTTTTACAGTGGTGTTGACAATATAGCAGTGGCATAATTATTTCTATCAATGTTCATTTCCGTTCTGCTTGTCAATAGCACTCAATTACCTCCCCCTCCCAAAAAACCCCCACAAAAAACCCACCAAAAAAAGAATATAATTCCCGTTGAGTTCTGCCTAAGGTTTCGAATCTGATGGTTTCTGGGTGTGCCCGATGAGCTCAGTTCTTTAGTCTTGTTTTCTAAGAGCAAAGTGGAAGTCGAAGAAAAGAGAATGGCCTTTAAGTGAAGAGGAATAAAGCCAGCCAGATAGACATTCAGAAACAGCAGAGAGAAGGAGAGAAAACACCAGTGGTGCCCTTTAACTGCTTGCAGTCCTGCTTCATCTAACTTTGAATACCGGTGTGGTATATGTTCGCTACAACTGCCAATAATTCGTTCTCCGAATATTCTAATAAGGATGTTCCTTTTTTCTTTCTCTGTATCTGTAGAAGCAGAAGAGAGTGGTATCGGAAAGCGCCAGATCTCCATCCCAGCTGACCGGACCTCACAGATGGATGACATGGAGTTTGACCGCATCTCTTACCAAGGCACTGATGTTATGTCTGAGAAGGGGGAGAAGGTAAAGTCTAACCGGCTCTAACAGCCACAACCTGTATGAGACAATCACCTGTACAAACGGCCTCTTCTCATCCCCCCTCCCTCCCTGTTTAACACTTTCCACCCTCGCAGCGTGCAGAGCGCTCAACGCTTATCCCCATGGACCAGGTATACAGATACGGTACACGCTATATCACGCCGGCGCTGATCAGCGTCCCATGAGGAAAAAGGACGGCTTCTTACCGTTGCTGATCGGCGTCCTGTGGGGGCAAAGTGTTAAAGTAACAACTCAAATTTCATCCTTTGAACCACATTTAAGAAAATTGAACCTGTGATTGTAAGCTTGTAAACAGATTTTGACCGAGGCAAAAACAGTCCCACTAGTACCCTGGTGGGATTCTCAACTTTTTAATGGATGACCGTCTGACGAAGGCCATTTTCTACTACCAAAATATTTGTAAACCTGAGCAGGAAAAAACTGTCACTAACTTAAATCTTTAAAGGTTTCCTATTTTGTTTTTGATGGAAGAATTTAATTTATATAAAGCAGAAGAATTCAGTTGGTTTGTATCGTGGAGATTCCTTTGTTTTCGTTTTTCTGAATTTTCCTTATGACAAAGTGTTGAAAAGATAGATGCTTAGGGCAACCATCTCATCTCATTGTTTTCAATCTATCAGGGCAAATCAAAATCTCGTGGTGGTTCAAAGGCGGGTTCTATCGCTGGTGGGACGCTTGCTGACCTGAGTGAAATGGAAGGTGTCATGGCGGCTCTCGAGGGCAAAGTGGAAAATGCCCCAGAACCGGAGGATGACTTTATGAAGGCCGTGGCAGAGGCTGCAGGCACCGCAACCAAGGTATGTACCCATTGATAGAACAGCCTGGTGGGGTATACTTTTTCTTCTTTTTTCAGCTAGCTTGCAACTTATTTTTACATTTACAAACGGTTTTTTTCTACTTCGTAAGGCCCTTGCCTTCAGGCAACCACATTTCAATTTCAAAGGTACACTATTTTTTAAGTACTCACTAGAGTATTTCCAGTTTCAGTATGAAGGAATTGATTTTGAATTTTGTGTTGGTGGCGGACAGAGCCTACTTTTATCATCAATTTGACGACCACTAAGTGATATTAAGTGTGCTCAACTTGCACACATGACCTAGGAGATTTTTAGTTCTTATTCGAGAAGGCTAAGTGTTCGATCTTACTAAGATCAGGGATGTGACTGAGAGACAACTGTAAGAAGGATCCAGAAGGAGTAGCAGTAGAAAGAGTTATGAGTAAGGAAGAGAGGAGCAGAGGGGGGACTGGGGGTTGAGGTTATATTCCAGGAAGTATTGTACATTATGGCTATGCTCTCAAGAACATTTAGGTTTTCGTTTTAACCGTCATTTTGAACTCGTGAAAGAGACCGAACTGAAATGATGTTAAATTGACAGTCAAAAACTTCTCATGTTTATGCCTTGTGTTTCCCAAAAGGAGTAGGAGAGGGGATTGTTAAAGTATGAATTAATGTTCAGCAGAGTTTTTGTTACATCAAGAAAGAGCCTGAAAACGTGTCTTATGACATTTGATTTGTCAGTTACATATACAGAAAGAAATCTAATCCACAGGCAGAGACAAATGATCAAATTATTTTCTTGTGTTGATGTAATTGTATTTCAATTTCATTGAATATACTGGTGTTTTGATTGCTGACAATGTCTGAAATATTCATGTCTTGACTCAGGATACGCCCCCTGACACAGTCAGAAAGACGACCTCTGGTAAAACAACGCCCAGTGCTGTCAGCGTGAAGGCAACTCTGCCTGTGGAGGAGAAGACGCCTCCAGCCGCAGCTGCTGATGACGCTGCCAGTGAGAAGAGCCGCCCGTCTCTGCCTGGTGGCACCGCCACAGAGAAGAAGGCAGAGGACATGCAGGTCAGTGCTTTAGTAGAGCTTTGCCTTTCCAGTACCGATCTCTCTTATTGGTGCATTGTAATAGTTGCTGTTGCTGTCGTTTTGTTGTTGTTATTGTTGTTTGCTACATATTGCATAGACTGTAAAGAGGAAAACTTGCATATCCTTGAAGCTTGACTTCTTTGGAGTTACTGTGTTCTCACAAAGGAAGGTGACGGTAACTGTCACGTTGGTTGCTGTATATTAATTTCAAAAGTACTTTTACAACTGGGTCATAATCTCATTTTCAAAACAAAAAAAAGGTTGGGGAAGAGTATAGTGGTTTGGGTGGGCAATTGAGGTAATCCTTACGATTAAAGACTGTAAAAGATACTTATAAGTTTAATGGCTTATTGTTATTTTGATTATTACTCTGGCGTCTCTCTCGACGACGACAGAGCGTGAAAAGTGGCAAGACTGGAGTGTCCCAGAAAAGTGAGGCGTCTAAAGACTCCAAGAAGAAGGGGAAAAAGTCGCCGGAAGAAAAGGACGAGCCTTTCGTTGTTGGTGAGTAATGATTGTTAAATTTGTTTTTTTGGGGGATCATGAACTACCTAATGTATAGATGTACCTTTGGGTGTTCATTATATCGTTTGTCTTAATTTAGTTATTGCATGTTATGTAGATGTGCTTTTACGTATATTTTTGTCGTTTAAAAATTTCTTTTAATTTTCAGCTGCAGATTTGTATTCAAATAAAAAATTGGATGGATTTTTTTTGGAATTCACAGCATTAGGCTCATTGTATTCTGTTGTATTGTAGTTTGGAAATCATAATGTTAACTGGTATAATAATTACACCAAGGTTTGTACATATGAAGACTATATTATGTCTGCTTATAGACCCCCATCCCCCCCTACCCCCCCCCCCCCCAACCCCCTTCCCACGTTTATTGAACGAACAGCGATGCTGTATGTTATCCATGCTCCGTTTTTATCAATGTACAGCATGTGCATTCAGGGGGAGGGAGAGAGAAGATAAGAAACTTTAAGTACACAGTGTATCCTAAGGATGAGGCATCGTCTTTGTTTATTTAATTAGAATCAGAACCACCGACGGGTAGTTTCCTATCCCACACCATACCACAAGACTAGGACACCTCTCGTGTTGTATTATTTTTGTCTGTCTCCTGGATGATTTTCCAGTAACATTATGATATTACCGGTCTGCTTCTTTTTATCCCTGTCCAGTTCAACACAGTGTAAGTAAGGTTAACGGTGTATTGTGTGTGTTCAGTAGGCTTGTTGCTATGCTTTGTTGATGTGCTCCCCAGTGATCAGACGGCCAGGTGACGGAACATGCCCAGCGAACCAACGATTTTAGATTTTTGTTCGACATTCAACCTGTGTGTTCTGCGATTTATCAAGATGTAATTATAAGTTTTTTAAATTGTGTTTTTAAAAGCCATAATATATCAATGTGCAGCACAGAACGAACTAGGTCGCTGATCAGTGTGATGAAAACTGCTTAGTGCATCATTCTGAGTTTATTCTTGTTTCAGCGTGTGCTCATAAAAACAACTGGTTTGTGACTGCTTTGAAATAAGTAACACCTGTCCAGAACAGTAGGACAGACTGTTCGTTTACAGAATGTGTTTGTTTTCAAATGGATTATTTTTGGCTGGGAATGTACGGACTTTACTTGTAGAGAGTAACCTTTCCCAACCATGACCTGTCACAGGCAAGGTGGATCAGAAGGGAGAGTTGGAGAAACTGTACGGGCCGGTGGATCTTCCACCTCCCCCTCCACCCGCGAAGCAAGAGGAGAAGGGTATAGTTTGGCGTGACGCTTGCACCAATTGACTGCTTTTGTGTATTTTTTGGTTTTTTATGTGTATTGTAATAATATGTTTTTATAGGTTTTATATGTGTATAATGTATTAATATGCTTTTTTAGGTTTTATATGTGTATAATGTATTAATATGCTTTTTTAGGTTTTATATGTGTATAATGTATTAATATGCTTTTTTAGGTTTTATATGTGTATAATGTAATAATATGCGAGTGTGTGTGTGTGTGTATATGCAGTTTCAGTACTAATCTGAACTGAGCGGTAGATTTGTTCAACATTTCAAGAGTCATACATGCGTGCGTATTTCACTCTGCCCCGAGTGGTTGGTGGACACTTTTGTCTGGTCTGTTGGTTCATGATATAGCGGCGACTGTTTGGTTAACGCATTGGTGTGGTCTGCTCATTATATTATTTGTCTTCTTTGTTCTTAACAACTGGTGAGTTGTAAGCGAAACGTGGCTGCCATAGTGTTATCATTTCATGAGTTTTATCTAAACAATATCTGTTCAATCCGTTCGGGGCGTTTTTACTGGGGCTAAACCATGCACATTTTTAGCACTGGAAACGGGTTTGATTTGAGGAATATTCGTAGTCTCTATCTACTGATATGAACATGAGTCTGGTTTGTACTCTGGCGTGATTTGCTTCAACTGTTTATTATTCAGCAGCTATACATATTATATTTGGGAAATTTGGTATTTTGGGCCGCCTAAAACTTCCGAACCACTTAACTTTCGAATTTGAAATAAAAATAATTGTGATTCAGAATCATTTTAAGGGTGCACAGTTTTGTTGAGGAGCCTGGAGTCACTGTAGTTTAATTTTCAGTTTTTCATTATATTAGATTCGTTTAGATCTAATCTTGGGAAAGTCCGTCCTCTAAGACCCCATTGTAAACAAGTGAGATTTCCATTCACTAGTTTCTAATACAATGATAATGCGGTGTCATGGTTAAGTTCTTGGCCTATACACACAGAGGGCGTGAGTTTGATTCTCAAGGGGGAAAGTTATTTTATGGAGTATTATTTTCTACGCGCTGGGATGCTGTATCCCACTATGTCCGTGTAGTCGCTGAACTAGGTAAAAGCACTTCGTCTCCTAACTGGTGATCTAAGTTTTGGTCACCGGGGAAATAAAGCATTTGTACCTTCATATTGCATCAGTGGTTTGTATGTGGAAAGGTGAAGTAAAGCATTTTTACGTTCTTGTTACATCAGTGGTTTGTCTTTGGAAAGGGATACCGTTATCTCAATGACTCGCAGACAGCAACAGCGCGACTTAAATGCTGACGTATCTGTTTGACTACTTAGCTGTCGCTCAGTAAAACGCCCCCCCCCCCACACATACACACTGCTTCTCTACGTCATCATCATCATCATCATCATCATCATCATCATCATCATCATCATCATCATCATCATCATTGATATTTGCAATGGCATTAACAAGTAACCTTCCCATATCCGTCAACCTGGTGTGCCTGATTGTGTTTCTGCAATTCACGTTTTCAAAATCATTGTGAACAAACCCATGACATTGTGTCTCACGACGTGCACGACTTGACAAGATTGACCTTGCGTTTTCAGCTGTGTCAGTTTTTCACACGTACTCGTTATTTGGCACCTTGATTGGAGTGATGTGTCAAAATGCTTATTATGCTTCGTAATGATTACTAATCAGAAGAAAAAAATCACTGAATAAGCTTAAGAGCACACCTTTTTTTGTACTCGTAAAACATACCAATAGAAAACTTTCGGAAATTGTGGATAATTATTATCGTCCCCACACCACTCTCATTCCCGCTGGCAGAGATACTTTTCTTCTTCTTTCTTCCTTGTTACATGTTCTCAATGACTGCAGCTAGACAGTCAGCCCGATGTTGCGCACAAGCTGTGCAGTCCGCTTCAGATCTGAGAGACTGCCATAGAGCTTTCTCTCAAGTGGAGTCACATTCTGCCACGTCTGTGTACGAAGGGTGGCGTAGCGCGGGCAGTGCTGAAGGATATTAGCAGAGATACATGCGGATGGGGAAAGGGGTGGGGGGGGGGGGGCTTCTCACGATCCTCTGAAATAAGCGAGTATGGTTAGAGAGTGCGACTGGCTGGTCCTAGTTATTTTCTTTCTCTGCTTTGTTTCAACATATCTACTTTTTCTTTATTCTTCCTCTATGTTGTTTTTGCCTATCTGATCTATCTCCCTTCATTCCGTGCTTTAAGTGGCTGGTATTATGTCGGTGTAGTCTTCGTTAAGCAAACTCTGCGCCCTGTGCACAGACTTAGAATTAAAAGCACTTACATTTACGGATGTCATTCTTGAAGATGGGTGGGTGATAAGCAGGCACCGCTGGAAGGTTCTATCCTTTTCTCCTTTTTTGGGGGGTCTGTCTTTGTCTTACCCTTTTCAAGCACATAATAACCGTGTAATATGTCAACGTGCTTCTCTGTATGTCTACTTGTCGATAAGCGCAACATGTCCACTGACTTTGTTTGTACTTCCGCTGGTTGGTTGGGCAGATTAGGGTCGGGTTGGGATGGCTGGCTAGTCAGTGCTTGCTTTTAGAAATTGTGATTTGTCTATACTGTCCCACCGCAAGGCCTGCTCATCAATCCTGACACAGAGGTCAAGGCAGTCCTGAGCTGTGCACTGAAGGGATTTACTGGACTTGTGTATCTAGGCCGACCTACCCCGTACGCGCGTCCTCGTGAAAGCAAATAGATATGGTGGAAGTATATGTGCCACAATTCAGTGGAATCAGGCGCTCGTCAATTTTTGGGAATATGGAGTTTTTGGTATCGTCTTAAATGCTGTTCATTTGTCTCGCTTTCAATGAAAAAAATATCCATTTATCTTGAATAGAAATCACGATATTTGCGATTGAAAGAGGTGGGGTGGCCTTTTTTCAGAAGCGGAATTAGTTAGATAATGGCTGCTAAAGTTTGCTTACTTACAAAGCCTCAGAGTCCGTGAAAACAGACAATTTACATTTTTATGCCTTTAATCAACGTTTTTCTATTTAAATTTATACTGAAATGGGTTATTCAATAGACATAGAAGGTGTTAAGCCCAAAAACAAAACTTTGATAGAAATTGCCAAATCATTATTTTGACGAGCACCTGATTTCACCATGCTGCCTCACATATGGCTGCATGCTTCAGGAATGTCCGTCCAATTCTATCTGTCGCGAGGCCGCATCGCAACTTTTCTTTTCTGTCTGTTCACATGTCTGCCCGATTTCCCCACAGAAACACATTAGCAACAAATCGGCAACTCACTGTAACACTCCGCAATACGCCATTTTGAGAAGTGACGTATGGGGAGTCGAAATGCAGTAATTTACGTAGACGGTTCTATAACAGGAGGAACGATCTAAAGATGAGCGTCCCGTGCTTGGCAGGCCAGTAGCCAGGTTGTCAGAGTAGAACATTGGGCGTTTGACAGTCCCAAATAAGACTATGACTATGGGAGTGAATGACTTTTTTAAAGCATTTGACAAGGTCGCGCACATTGCGGCCTTCTGCACGAACTGATTGCGACTGACTCCGTGTCTTCTCTGGAGGAGATGTAAAGTGGCGCCTGCGTTACGTCTATTTAAAGAAACAGATTGAGGGACGTCAGTTGACTCGTCTGACCTATTCGGGCTTGGATCCAAGGCAACGAAGTAGACTTGACTGCTGGAGTGGCTTAAATTATAGACCTACTGACCCTTAATCCGCTTAAATTTGTTGCAAATTGTCAAAGATGATGATAAATGTTGCAGGAGCATCCCAACTCATCATATCACACCTCGTAACTTCTTAAAGAGGAAGCCAGTAGTACGCGAGGTTTAGCAGTGACCATGGGCCTTAAATGGGCGGAGGGGGGCATGATGTTCTACAAACTAATATGACAGAAACCATCTGCATTGCAATCTTGAGGTGAAGCGGCTCTTCAACGATTGGGCAAACAGCTATGGAGCTGGCCGGACTACGTCGACATCTGTTCTACAAACAAATAAACACATGCTGTAACGTTTTATACTTTGTAAATGGACCGGGCTGGACCAGGATCTGAGCAGTCTGAGGCCATCTGGCCGTACTAGTCGACACTGCTCTGCAGATCTGGGAAAATCGGACAAGACACTGACTTCTGGCTACAGATCTGTTATGAAAGCACATAATATGGCACAATGTTCCTTCAGGGAGACCTTCCGCTTTGTTCTAATGTGGTTGTATCTTTCTCTTTCTCTTTTTAAAAGTACTTGTCTCTTTCTAATTAACAGTTGCCCGTAGACCGGCTGACTTGCTGTAACAAAAAATCAACGCAAAAATATTTTGACAGCTTACACTCGCATACAATTCGACGGAAGGTTATCTTGATGCCACATTATATTATCCATGGCCTACCAGTTCAATTTGTTTCGCCGTTTCAACCCTCCGGAGGGGCCAACATTTTTTTTAGCCGCCTGTTAGTCGCATACCATTACCAATCATTTACACAATATTCGAAAATCACATCATTTTCCACCAGTCTTGCCAGGCTGTACAGCAAATTGTGAGCAAGCGCTTTCACGCCTGCACGACTCTGCACCGCTTGGGCTTGTCGCTCGCCCTTTGCATCATGCTTCTTTTCCTCTCGTTTGAAATTTAGAAATTAAGTTTACAGGAGAAGTCTGAAGACATTAACTGTCATGAAACTATTAACTGCCGTTTCAGCTCGCTTCTAACTATAGCTCTGCTCATTTCACTGTAAAATCAAAGTTTCTACAATGATAAGCCCAAGGTTTGTCAAGAAATTACGTTGAGAGATGGCTTTGAAAAAAGAATTTCCCTAATAAATATTCTAACAATTTTCAGTGGGTCTTCACTGTAAAGTAGCAATTATAAATTATTCTTTTGAGAAAAAGAGGGAATTTTGGTGATGTTAATTTTATTCATGCTGTAAAAGAATAAGAAAGTCTTTGTAAGTTTTTCGTCGCGAGAATTCACTCATGCCACACAGAATTTCGCGAGATGGCTTCTCCTCTTTTGTGTGCTTCCATTCCGATTTGATTGGTAAAATGAGCATCCTGACTTTGGTCCCTGTTGTTTAGCCAAAAGTCCCGAAAAAGTGGAAGAGGAGCCCGCGCCTCCTGTTGTGGCCGAGCCTGTCCCTGACCCCGAGGAAGGGAAAGGTCAGGAGGTGGAGCCAGAGACAAAGCCATCAGCTGGGGGCCAAGGTCCCCCCGTCATCACCACCACAGGTGAGAGGTCGGGGGTCACACTTACCCATTTCAGGCGAGTGTGGACGTCGTGAGAGGGTGAGATAGAAACAGATGAAAATAGTAGTTTTACAGGTTTTCCAACTGTCTGGAAATACCCGAAACCGTCCGGGATTTGGCAATCGGGAAATCTAGAGGACATTCACAAACACTATACCAAAATCAGTCCCACTTGATTTAGTTTAGTATTTTGTTATGTAATCCAGTGTTTTAATGTTAAGAGTCCCTGATTGGGATTTGAAAAAGTTAGTAAGCCTGTAGATATGACTTTAATGAACAGAACAAACAGAGGGCTTGGCGAACAAAAGGCAACGAACTCACCGAAACGAACGGACTGAATAACTGAACAGAACTTTCTAAAGTGTAGATACATTGATAACTGGATAAACAACGAATTAGTGAAAATTTGTGCGTAGCACAACAATGGCTGATGATTATTAAGAAACAAAATTCTCATGTACTTTTATTCTTTAACTGTAATAATCTGAAATGTATTGATTTTTTAAAATGTATATTTAGCTGTTGAATTTTTTTCCTGAACGAACAACTTCTCCTTTCTATTGAATGGAAAATATTTGATAAAATACCTCTGCTCTTTCCGCTTCAACGTAGTATTCCACATTGACCAATCTAACCCTGGCAGACAGAGTTTAAGCACCACCTTTTCCCCTCCTTGAAGGATGTGAATGATTTTCCTGCTGGCGCCTGCTTGATGTTTAGTCAGATAACGTACAGCCCGTCATCGCATACCGTTTTCATTCATTTCGAGTTTCTTTGCTGTTTATGATCCTCCTTTTCATCAAAAAGTGCCAGGTACGAAGCAGATATTGACGATCAGGGTTTGCCGCTCATTCAATTGGTCGGGGGTCCATTTAAAAAAAGCAAACAATATTATTATCTTAGTCCTTGCTCGTCCCCCCACATTTTCAGGTTGTCCAAATAAGTTGCTCTTGGAATACTTACCCCTGCGTCTTTTTATTTTTTCCACTGAGAGCAAGTAGTTCAAGGCTTTTCTGTCGATTCAAATGTCTCAGAAACTGCATAATTTGTCTTTTCCGAACTGTGTGGGTTTTTTAAATTTGTAAGCGGCCCACATGGGTGTCTTTTGGCACTACCCAATTTGATTTCTTTTCTTTCAATGAAGTTTTCAAGTCTCATAAGGAACCAAGTTTTTTGTTGCTTTAATTTATTTTCACTATCTGTGGTAATTCCCACCATTCTCAACAGTATAAAAGGGCTTGTCTTACATACATAATCTTTAAGAATTTTTGTTCTGTCGTCATTGAACTGTTCCTATTTTTCGAAATTCTGCTCATGGTTTTGAAAGTGATCCTATGTCTTTTCTGTACTGATTGGTTTATCTTCTTGTTTTTTGTGGGTTTTTTGGGGGGGATCAGTTTTCATCCCTTTTTTGACGACCCATCAATGTCTATATATAATCTGTCTACTTTATCAATGAAATGGGAATCTGACCACTTACATCACATCCATCCTGTATCCCGTGTGCACAATAATGATCACTTCTAAGTGAGCTCAGTAGATGTAGTTTCATAACCTACAATTCCACTGTGTTGTTAACCAGAACTTAATAATAATAATAATAATAGTAGATCACATTTGTATAGCGCAAATTCCCGCTCAACAAGTTCTGTATGCGCTTGACTTGAAGGACTAAAGATAATATATGAGTGCTAAGCTGCAGTTTAGCCTTGGGTACATTGTTGCTGTTTTCACCCATGCCCCTATAAGTACTGTGTAGTAGCCTGCATCGGTTCCCTTGATTTTGTGAGCCATTTTATGCAGTTTTACACACTGTATGGGTATCCGTATTAGCCTTTCTATATCAAGTTCTCGTACCAATACACAGACGCATCTAAAAGGCTTATTTTTCAAGTCGTTCTCCTTAATTATACCCCCACCCCATTTGTTAGCTGTTTATCCCTGACAGCGGAAGATAGTAGACATTCGCCATCTCCCCCCCCAGCCACCTGCTCATACTGCATATTGTGCTGGTCACTTGTTGTCTAATTTATTTCTCATCGTATCTTTGTCGACACGGTCCCTTGTTCGAACCTACTTGTTGCGCAAACATAACTAAATTTTAGTTGGCCGAAAGAGAAATTCTGTGGTCAAATCGTGGTACACAATGAGTCAGTTACGTACACAGATGTAGGATTCATTTACGTCCTAGCGTTGAAGTAGTGCACCCTAAAGCTCTCAAACTCCAAAGTTTCACTGATGTTAAGATCAAGCACCAATGAACAACGTCACTTCCCTGAACAAGTCTTTTCCGTCCCATGTAAGCCTATACAACCCGTCAAAGCAAATATTTATTTTTTTATTTCCCAGGAGACTCATAAGCCTTCCGTATTGAGATCGATGTAACGATGGAAACGGATTAAAGACACACTTAATAATTATGTCCACTCTCATGCGAAAAACACAGGCACAATTAATGCTCTTATACATACACTCACAAGTTCATCTTCGCACACTCTCACACACACACACACACAAACACATACTATTTGTTTGTCTGTCTGCCTGTCAGTCTGTCATACATTCACTCTCTCTCTCTCTCTCTCTCTCTCTCTCTCTCTCTCTCTCTCTCTCTCTCTCTCT